GAAGAATTCAACTGTGTACCCATCAGGCCCCGGTGCTTTATTTGCAGACATAGCGAATATCACCTCTTTTATCTCCTGCTCTGTTACTTCCTTTATTAAACCCTGCTTAACCTCCTCTGAGCATTGGTACTGTAATAAGCTCTGTAAATCACTAACCGTAGCATCCCAAAGATCATTTGGCTGGAAATTTAAGAACTTGTCAAAGTGCTTAACTGCCTCATCCTTAATTTCATTCATTCCCGTAACAACTGACCCACTCTCTAAAGCCAACTCCCTAATAGCATCCCTGACTGCCCTCACCTTCACAGCCCGATGATAGACTTTAGTATTATTGTCTCCAGTATTTAGCCAGTTAAGCTTGGCTTTTTGCAGCAGGTACTTCTCCTCAAGGTACGATGACTTTTCCCATCTGGCGAAATTCTCAGTCTCCTCTCTCTGTGCATCTTCCGACGGATTTAACAGATTTTTCTCTTGCTTCTCACAGAGGGTTTCATAGTCACCCTGAACTCTCCTCGATATGTTACTCAATGTTTCCCTTGAGATCTGCCTTATTACCGGTTTTAGAGCATTAAGCTTCTTTGAATAACGATACAAAGCCGATGTGGAATGAAATAGAGGAACAGATTCCTCCCAAAACTCCCGCACTGCACTCTTAAATTGCGACAAAGAAGCAATTACATTTGTAAACTTGAAAGGACGCTTTGGCTTTCCAATTTCTTCACTGACATAAAACCTGCACCTAACATGATCCGAGCAACCTCCAGCTTTGAAAACGCAATAAGACTGTGGACAACTATCAAGCCAGTGATCATTGATGAGAAGCCGATCAATCTTTTTACATATAATACCCTCTGTTCGTTTATTACACCAAGTGTAATGCGGTCCATGAGAACCCATATCAGTAAGCTCTCCATCTCTGACCACCTCTTAGAAATCCCACGCACCACCCGACCCTGTGAGACTCACACCCTCGCCAGGATGATCTTCATGAGATAAAATCTCATTAAAATCACCCATTACAAGCCATCTCAACCTTCTGTAAATTTGAGAACAAAAATGACTTCTCAAGTCACTCCATAGCTCCTTGCGATCCTCTATAAAGTTTGATCCATAGACAAACGAACATAAGAACTCATCCTCCATCGATTGAATCTTTACCAAAACCGTTATTACTTGACTGCTTTTAAAGACAGGGGTAATACGAACTGAATTGCTCTAGACAACCCATAGTCGACCCAATCTGTGATGATCATAATTATGAAGAAATGACCATCCCGGGAACACTGCCGACACAATATCTGCTGCTTTATTCTCAGTTACTCTAGTCTCAATCAACGCACCAAACAGAAAGTTATTCTCCCTACACCAACTCTTCACCACTTCATGCTTTTTCTTTTTATTAAAACCTCTAATGTTCTAGAAGAAACCAGACATTAAGGTTTGTTTTTTTGTTTTGCCTTTTGCTCTTCTTATTCGAGCCTCTGCTAGGTGTCCCCGTAGAGGTCGACTGCGAAGAAACATTGATCACTTTGTGAGCAGATTTTGAGCCACGCGGTAGTGGGATTTGACTTTCTGCCACCTTTTTCACCTCTTTCTGCAGATTCTGCTGAGCAATCTGCACCGATCCTGCATTTTGTTCCCGAGCTGTGTCTAATACTCCATCTACATCCTGCTCCCCTTTCTTTCCTACCTCATTCTCCTGTTCAGACAGGTGTTGGCTGTCTACCACTTCAGTGCAAAGATCTTGGTCCAAAGCATCTTCGACCTGTAACAAAGTCTCGAATCTTGAACTAGAGCCGCAAACCTCTATTCTTTCCTCACTGTTTTCTAGCCTTTGTCGTCTTGCTGGAGATTTGACGACTTCCCAATTATCCGAAGGAACTGATTTACGACTTGGTTGAGGAGTAGTAGGTGCTTCCTTCTGAGAAACTTCTGCAACAACTCTCGGAGAAGTCTGACTCTCCCTGTAACCTTGTTTAAACGCTGAGCTGGAGCGACCTCCTTAACAGGTTCAGATACCCTCACGGGAGATTGTGTTTCACTCCTTCGAAGAATCACCTTGTCTCTCGGGACTGCCTTGCACTCTCCTATATCATGACCACACTTCGAACAAGAATTACATCTTGGAGGGAGCCATGGGAACTCGTAATACACTAAGGAATCGACTCCCTTCTTTGACTTGAAACTAAGCACCTCAGGTAACTTCTTGTTCAAGTTAACATCAACGAAGACTTTTGCCTCATCAAAATTCTTCGCCCATAATTTATCCAGATGAAGCTTCTTGGGATCACCAAGTGGACTGGTGAGAAAACTTAACCCCTTCCAGGAGAACATAGATCGGGGAAAATTCCTGAGAATCATCCACATTGGGATAGAGGTGATCTCTGGCTGGACTTCCTCAATTACAGGATTCCATTTCGAAACAATCATGGGGATATTTTTAATACTCCACATGCCACGCTTCAGAACCCGGGATCGAATTGCCGCATCCAAGATCTTAAATTTGATCGTTGTTTCGTTGACAACAAATACCTCAATCTTGACCGACTTGTCACCCAAGGTCCAGATTTTGTTCACCGTCATATGCACCACACCTACATGTGGAGCCTTCGACACAAACTTGCCTATGATGCAGTCCTCCCAAAGGGGTGGAGCGTTTTCAAAAACGTTATCCGGGATCCGGATCGTATCAACCCCATCAATTTCTTATACCTCGATAGGGAACGTTTGAAGCCCTAACTTGTTAGAGACAACAGACGCCCATGATTTCCCTTGAGACTCCCCTGCTGCTTTCGTTGCGTCCAAACCTACTTCTGTTTCCTTACCCGAGATCGAACCCTTGATCCCCTCCTCCTCTCCCATACCTTTCTCCTCCACCGAGATGACCAAACCATGAGACCCCTCCAGCTGCTTTTCTGAGGTCCCCTCATCACCACCTATCAGATGATCTACCACCGCTGGCGCCGCCATGCCGGAATTACCCAAGCCGTGGGCAGGAAACAAGCTGAAAACCCTAGGAAGAAATCGCCTTCGATGTCGCCCTTCTGCTGACGTGGCCTCTGCAATACCCTCCCCTCCTCTAACTCATTTCAGTTAAGTCTTTGATAAAAATCATCTTGTTAATATATGTTCCTCCACTCTTGTCTTTCCCGAAGTACATTGTGAGTCCTCCTATTGCAATTTGTGCTTCATACGATCATTAGCAGCAATGTGGATCGTGGATATAAAAACATTGGTAATAGATAGATTATAACAGAAAGAAATAAACGGTTAGAGATAATGATAAGAGATAGAAAAAGTTTTTTCAATGAAACTAAATTTATTCCCGCTAATTCCTTTCATATATTTATTATTAGTACCAGTAAATCTATAATTGTATCTTTATTGTTTTATAAAATTTTATATTTATATTTATCAAAATGTACCTGCTAACAAAATGTTCAAGATCCTTACTGTCTGCTGTTATTATATTAGAAAAAGATTAGGCGAGCTTCTATCTTAGCCATCAAGGCGTCATTGAATTTTTGATTATCTCAAAATCCAAGCCCTTCTGCAATTTTTGGGGTCGTGAGCTTATTCCAGAAGATCCAACTCATTTTTTGCTTATCCAACTTATTGTCCCACCAAAATTTTGTGAGAACCGATTGTATATGCTACAAGAAGATTGTGAAAAGAAAAAAGAAAAAATTAATAGATACTATCTATCGGAAAAAAATAATGGTAATTAAGTTCTGCATTTTATTATCGTTATTGGTAAATGTTTACCAATCAAACCTATGGTTATTTATTAGAGAACGAGACGTATGGATCTAGATAAATGCATAAATTGTGTTGTGCGGTTTGTATGATAGAGGAGGAGACAAAGTAAATTGCCGCGAAACTTCCTCATTTTTTGTTTCGTCCTTTTTTCTTGGTCCACAGTCAATCTTCTTCACATTATTATCTGAAATGCAATGAGCTTTTATACTCTTGTCCATATATGATATCTGTGGTCCAAAATTTACATAATTAGTAATTCTTTTCTTTTTCCGTGGTTTTTAAAATAAATTAAATAGTCAAGAAAATAATTTAAAAGTTTTTTCACAGTAATTCTTTCGATTTTGAGTACACGTGTTTATACGATGAGTCACAAACTCGATTACAACTTTGCAAGAATTCATAGACTATTTATCCCATGAATTATAATCAGATTTCAATAAAAAAGTTCTTTCTTAATGTTAAATGATTAGTGAATTTTATGAAATTTGATAGTGTAAGTTTAAAAACAGTCTAACTTTGAAAGATGCAACATCGTCAACTCTTTATTTTACATTAATTCGATGTCATATCGTTAAAGTTTTTTAAATTATTAATTTGGAATCAATTATGAGCTTTTTTTTCCAAAAAAAAAATGTTTAGTTTATAAATATATTTTAATTAAATGCGAAAAAATGTGTTGGACTTTCACGTGAAAAAATGTGTCTTTTTTTGTAAAACGTTTTAACCGAAATTAACTAAAATGGTTTTTAGTTTTATCGTTATATACGAAACGCGAAACATCACATTCTCTGTATAAAAAACAGAGCGAATGTATTTTCCTTACTTATTCTGCCACGCTCACATTATTTACGTGTATTAAAAATGTTTTAGAATTATTTTACCTTTACAAATTATATACTCTTATTTACGATTATTATTATTTTTTGTGTTCGGTAAAACAATTCCCTGGATTAGTTCTTTAAGTCAAGTGTTAATACCTTATAATGCTCTTTTCGTAAACAAGCCTATTGCATCCAAGTTGCAATGATGAATACTTTTTTCCGTTATGGTTCAAATTAAATAATTTGGCTTTCTCTATTAAAATTTTTCACTGCCGAGATCTAAAAGATAGGCAAAAGGCAATTTCTGTTAAATATGTATAAGAAATAAATAGTTACCTAATTTAAAAATAAAACTAACTTTTGCTGTATCTACCTAATTAACCCATCTATATATCGTTATCAAGTATGTTTAATACCAATATTGCTCTCCTCAATTATTAGTGATATAAATATTTGTAGCTACCGGTCATTTTTTCCTCTCCCTCTCTCTAAGCAAACTAAAACAAAACAAGAATTATAAAGCTATGGCTGGTATGCTTCCCGGAGTTGAGTGCGCGAGGAGGCGGCGTTTTCACGGCGGTGGTCCACCGATTGACTTATCCAACACGGCTGCTGTGGCGGCAGCTGCCAGACACGTCTGGACTCGGCGACCATCGTTCTCTCTCTACACTACCAATAACGAGAGTCACCAAGCCTATGTCTCCTTCTCGGTAAAGATTTGAATGATAACAACAACAAAGCTTAGAACTTAGAACACTTTCTTGAACTTTTTTTAATATGTTTATGAAATTATAGGAGAGAAATGTTAGGAACAAATCTTACGGAGAAGATCATAACGACGAGAAGCTTGACGGAGCGGCCAAAGAGGCTAAGGAGAGGCTGGATGAGCGGCTCAGAAACCCGCGAAAAAGGTTTGATTTGGTTAAACAAGCGTATGATAGCAAACCAAGTCCTAATTCACCTTAAAATGCGCCGAACCAGCTCAAAGCCTTTTGCTTTTATTCTATGATAAGGACGCATGATGATGTATTCTATTTCAAAACATGTGGTATCACATGAGCATATAATTTGAGATTGCCTTTTGTCGGACAATTATTATTATTTTTTATCACCTTAGTGTTAAAACCCCACTTTTCTCTCTGCCAAGCGCAGTTTAGCAAATGCTATCTATTTACTTTTTAAGTTGCGTCTTTTGTTTTGTTGTTTTATAGTGGAAACTTTACCGGAAACCACTAGGCAGCTTCCAAGACTAGCAAATTTGACATTACTTCTCTTGAATTTTGCTTTAAATTTCAAAGTTCAGGCAAGAGAAAATCGATAAATTGGAGCAAAAGAAAGGTAAATCTCACGGAGAGTTACCGAGGGAGGTGGTTGGGTTGAAGAAGAGCCGAGGAAAGCTAATCGAGTGGTTCGGGTGGCGAATCCGGCAACAACAAGATTGTGCTATATGTCTAGACCAGTTCAAGACGGGTGAGACATTGGTTCACCTACCATGTACCCATAAGTTTCACTCCATATGTGTATTGCCTTGGCTAGACACCAAGGTGTATTGCCCTTACTGTAGAATGGATATTTGGAACTAAATGCAATAGTTGTAACGTCATATTTCTTTCTATTTTCTGATGAAATGGTTTTAGCTTTTAGGATTCAAAACATAAATTCACTATTACTGATCAAATCACTTACCTTGTTAACAAAGTTCTTCTTCAACCAAGTCGAATAACTATAGATAAATAATAAAAAAAAGGGAGGAGGAATTCTGTAAACCTCCGACCCGTCTATCAGACAAACCAGACTATTCACTTTTCGTTTTAAATCACTTTACTACTCTAATTAAATAAATTAAATACATTTCTTGAATAATACTTTTATTCAATTAAATAAAACCATAGTTTTACAATTAAGATCAATAACTTAAATTTAAAAATAAAATCGAAGTAAAATGCAAAAAGTTTTTTTTAAAAAAAAATGCTGAAATTGAAATAAAGCTTAGAAAACCCGTCCCAATACACACCACTTCGGACTACTCTTCTTCGTAACCATCCAAATCATAATTTTCATATTCACCTGAAAAGAAAGATTAATGGATGAGTAATTTGAGAAAATTACTCAGTGAGAAATAAGTCCATACTCTCCTTACATTATATATTTATTTCTAACATATCAAGCCTAAAACTACACAAGCAACAAGCAGTGCTCTACAATCACACAAACAAGTACACACAAGGGATCATCATGCTCAAGGCATAGCAAACTCCTTCATGCTCAAGACATGGCAAACTCTTCATCATGTTCAAGACATGGCAAACTCTTTTGGTCACGAAGACATTTAATGTGGTTCGCCTCAACCACCAAGTGATGTAGATCATCCTTTCTTCCAATAATCAATGATCGAACCACGGTGCCCTATCACAGGTCGATCACCTATCTCTAGCTACTTTACAATCATCAGGCAATCAACGAGATGGACAAACAATTATGCTGGTGCTTCATCTAATGATTTCCTTATCCATTTCACTTTTTCATGATCTCCTTAGATGCATCAAGTAATCTACTTGTATAATCCTAGACTCAATATACTAAAAATAATCAAATAAGGTATTGAAAGCCTATATCTACTCCTCACATTGGCCGATTTGCAGATCTGGATTAAGGAGACTGAGAATTAAACAAATCAAACAAACGACAGGATGGAAGAGGCTCTCGGCGGCTCTTCTACGGCTAGGGATCGACTCGTGGCGGTGCTGAAAGTCTCGGCGAAGGCTCGAAAGACGGCAGGGAAGTGATCGGTGGTGGCGGTGGCGGTGGCTATTTTCTGCTGCTGGTCGATCTCTTTCTCTCTTTCTTTCTGCGGTTGGGGGCTGATTTACAGGGAATGAGACTCTTTCCTTAGGGTTTTCTCTTTTATAGGAGAAGACTTTGGGGATGGGACCTCCTGCTGGACCTCTGGATGGACTGGGATGTCACAACTTTCCCATTGTTGAAAAGAATTTATCCCCGAATTCACTCCCTCCTCATCGGTTTCCATTCCGGCTGAAAGCAGTTCAGGGTACTCAATTCTCATCTGCTCCTCCGGCTCCCACGTTTCCTTGCGAATACCATCTCTCTCCCATCTGAATTTTACCATTTTGGTCTTCTTATTATCAACCTTACTCTCCCATAATTCCAAAATTTCAGACGGCTTGCTCAGAACTGACAGATTTCCTTCCAGGTTGGCTGGTGGGGCAGGAAAATGAACTCTGGTTCTCTCACTACCTTCTTAAGTAGCGAAATATGGAACACATCATGAAGTTCAGACAACTCCTGGGGCAACTGCAGTCGATATGCTACTTCTTCAATCCTTTCGACTACAAGGTATGGGCCCATATATTTTGGCTTAAGCTTCTTCAACTTCTGGTGCCTATCAATTCCTCTAAAAGCTCTCAACTTCAGGTACACTTCATCTCCTACCTTAAGTGATAAATCCTTTCGGCGCACATCTGCATAACTTTTCTGACGGTCATGAGCCTCTCTTATCCTTGACTTAAGCAACTCCACCTGCTCGGCGGCGTTCTTTACCAACTCAGGATCTATTTCACTCAATTCTCCCACTCTAGTCCAACAGAGAGGTGTACGACACAGTCTTCCATACAGTGCTTTGTACGGAGCCATCTTGATACTAGAATAATAGCTATTGTTGTAGGAGAATTCTGCCAACGAAGATAATTCCCCTAATTTCCTTCCCAGTCCAGAACACAATGCCTCAACAAATCTTCCATGGTCTGGATCGTCCTTTCCGATTGACCATCGGTCTGGGGATGATAAGCCGCACTTAGATGCACTTTCGTCCCTAGCGCTTTTCTGAAACGCCTTCCAAAATGCAGCTGTGAACTTTGCATCTCTATTTGACACAATACTGACCGGAGCTTTATGCAGCCTCACAATCACGTCCACATACTTTTGCGCCAAAGTTTATGCTCCATCAGTTTTCTTTATCGGCACAAAATGAGCAGACTTAGTCAAACGGTCCACAATTACCCAACTTGCGTTTTTCTTATCCTATGTCATTGGTAAGCCCCTGACAAAGTTCATAGTTACCATGTCTCATTTTCATTCTGGTAGTGGTAAGATCTGAAGTAATCCACTTGAAACCATGCGTTCTGATTTCACCTGGTTACAGGTTGCGTACTGAGAGATCCATTTTTCTATATCCTTTTTCATTCCTCCCCAATGGTAGTATCTCTTCAGGTATCGATACATCTTAGTATTCCCGGGATGACTAGAGAACTTCGAATTATGAGCCTGGCTCAACACTTCTCTCCTCAACTCTTTGCTGCTCGGAACACAAAATTGCTTCTTGTACATATAAGCTCCATTATCTGCCATGTGGTACCCAGCCACTCGCTTCTCAACGATTTCCTTTATAGCCTCATCCTTCTTCTGCTCCTCGCAAATTTTCCACAGAAGATATGTATTTTCTTATTCTTCTAATCCCGTGAAATTCTCTCCCACCTCTATCACATACAACTGAAGACTTACCAATGTTGCGGTTATATTCTCCATTTTTTCCCATAGCAACATCTCCTCTGTGATGACTTAAACATCTGCTACTTGATTAACTTTCCCTGGGCGGTAGGCAATATCCAAATCATAATCTGCTAACAACTCCATCCATCTTTGCTGCCTCAAATTCAAATCGCTTTGGGTGAATACATGCTTCAAACTCTGGTGATCCATGTATATTTTCACCTTCTTCCCGTACAAATAAGCACACCAGATCTTCAAAGCGAACACAACCGCTGTTAACTCCAAATCATGAGTGGTATAGTTCAGTTCGTGCTTCCGCAACTGTCTCGAGGCATATGCTATGATTTTCTCTTCCTGCATAAGCACACCACCTATACATACTCCGCAGGCATCAGTGTAGACCTCATATGGTATTCCTGGCTTTGGAAGTACTAACAATGGAGTTTTGGTTAGACGCTTCTTCAACTCTTCAAAACTCCTATTCCGATCCTCGGTCCACTCAAAATTCTCTTCCTGACCAAACTTGACAATGGCTTTGTCAACTTCACAAATTCTGGCACGAACCTGCGGTAATATCCGGCTAGTCCCAAAAAACTACAGACCTCTGTGACATATTTAGGAACAGGCCACTCCGTTACAGCAATAATCTTTTTCGGATCCACTGCTACTTCTTCTTCTGAGATAACTTGACTGAGAAATTCAATCTTCGGCTGCCAAAAACTACATTTGCTCAACTTAGCGAAAAGCTGGTGATTCCTCAGCCCCTCAAGCACTAACTGCAGATGCCAAGCATGCTCCCTCTTTGTCCTTGAGTAGACCAAAATATCATCAATGAAAACAATCACACATTTGTCCAAGTATGCTCGGAAAAGATTGTTCATCAAATTCATAAATGCAGCTGGCGCATTTTTTAATCCAAACGGCATCACAACAAACTCGTAATATTCATAATGGGTTCGGAATGCCGTCTTCTTGATGTCCTCCTCAGCTATCCGAATCTGATGGTACCCTGTTAATAAATCAATCTTAGAAAACCACAAAGCTCCTTGCAGTTGGTCCAACAACTCATTGATCTGTGGCAACAAATATCTATTCTTAATGGTCACCTTATTCAGCCTTCGATAATTGATACAAAAGCGAAAACTCCCATCATTCTTCATCACAAACAACACTGGTGCTCTCCATGGCAAACTACTTGGTCGGATGAAACCCTTGTCCATAAGGTCCTCCAACTGCTTCTTTAATTTAGCCATTTCTGCTGGTTTTAGTCGATATGCAGCTTTCAAAACATGGGTCATCTCGGGTTCTATCTCGATGGTGAAATCATATCCTCGAGATGGTGGCGGTCCAATCAACGGTTCGAATACGTCCGCGTACCTGTTGTCCACTGGTATATCCTCTAACTTTTCCATTTCTCCTTCTCCAGTCATGGAAATCGTTGCCAGATATGCCTCACATCTTTTCTTCACTAAGTCTGTGGCGTGAATCATCGAATTTATCGGTACACTGGTATCCGTCTTTATTCCTTGAAAGATCAATCTTCTTTCTGGTTGTGGTATGTAGGTTCGTGTCTTTTCACAGTCCATAATGACCTGATAGTGCTTCAACCAGTCTATTCCAAAAATCACATCATATTGATCCAGCTTCATCTCCACCAAATTGCATGGAAGCTCTACTACTTCTAACAGGACTGGCACATCTTCGTGCACATCGATAGACTTCACCTATTCAGTTTTGGCAGTCTCAATTGCTTTCGACTTTGGTATGAGCTTTCCGGTAAAAGTCAAACACTTAGTCAACCTTGGACTCACAAAACTATGAATGACACCAGTGTCAAGCAAAGTGTAAGCCATCACTTTCCATACGGAGACCGATCCTACATAATTTTATACTTATGTCTAAGCACAAAATTTCCATTTCATGCAAATTCATAAGTATCACGACCATCTTTTAAATAAAACAATTTATTCACGTACCAGCGATCGGTGCTGCTCCTTCATTCTTCGTGAGCGCATACACAAACGGCCCAGCATTTTGCCTCTTAGCTGGCGGTCCTGGCAGTGGTCCATGATGAACTGTGAGAGCTTGTTGGTTAGCCACAGGACCCTTGCACTCCTTGGTAAAATATCCACGCTGTCCACACTTGTAACACTGATTGTTCTTTTCTTGGGCTCGACAATCCTTAGTGAGATGTCCACCTCTTCCACATACAAAACACTTGATTATCCCACAGCGCCCAAAATGCTTCCTTTCACAGTGTTTGCACATCAAAGCATCCTCAGAAGGAAATAAGCCTATTCCCTTAGATGATTTAATGATTTGATCTTGCGGCAAGCTTTTGGTGAAGGATCTGATAAATTGTATGCTGCCTTGATGTAATGGACGGTGAGTACACCACTTGAGATCATATGCCTAATGGTCTTATGTCGTCTTCGTATGTGACAAGACTTGCCATTGTGTAGATTATTAAGTGCCCGAGAGATAGCTGACTGACTATCACAGCATACACATAATGCTGGCACTGGTTTTTCCCACATCGGGATATCTTCCAGGAAGTTCCAAAGCCACTCTACTTCTTCTGGTGCTTTGTCTAAAGCTTTGAACTCTGACTCCATGGTTGATATGGCCAAGAGTTTTTGTTTGGAAAATTTCCAGAATATTGCTGCTCCAGCGAGTGTAAAGACAAATCCACTTGTGGATTTGGAGTTTGAAGAATCTAAAATCCATTTGGCATCACTGTACCCTTCTAACACTGCTGGTTCTTTACCAAAGTGTAGCCCATAACTCTTAGTGTATCGGAGGTAATTCAATATTCTAGTTATGGATTTCCAATGAGTATGACCTGGATTATTTGTGTAGTGACTTAACACGTTTACCGCATGCGCTAGATCAGGTCTTGTGCAATTGGTCAAGTACATCAGACTTCTAATTACACGTGCATACTCCACTTGCAATACTGGTTCACCTACGTTTTTGGTCAGGTGAGCTTGCATATCCATTGGAGTTTTTGCGGTTCCATTCGAGTAAGTCTTAAACCTCTCTAGGATCTTTTCGGCATAATGATCTTGAGATAGAGTGATTCCATCTGAAGTCCAAATGATTTAAATCCTAATAATGACAGCTGCAAGTCCCATGTCTTTCATGTCAAACTTCCCATTTAGCATGTTCTTGGTTTGTTGAATGATATCTTTGTTACTGCCTATGATAAGCATGTCATCTACATACAGATATAGTAGGTATATCCATTTAGAGTACTTTTGTATTAGATGCATTTATCACATTCGTTTATGCTGAAACCATTTGACATGCGTGCCATTGTTTGGGAGCTTGTTTCAGTCCATACAAGGATTTCACGAATCTACACATTTTGTGTTCTTGACCCTTAACCTCAAAAACTTTGGGTTGTTTCATGTATTCTTCAAAATCTCCATTTAGAAAGGAAATTTTAACATCCATCTGATGGATTTTCAAACCTTGCAAGGCTGCTACACCAATCAGTATTCTGATCAAAGTTATTCTCATAACTGGAGAATAAGTGTCAAAGAAATCTAGATCTTATTTTTGTCTTAATCCTTCACCACAAGGCGGGCTTTGTACTTATCTATTGAACCATCAGCTTTTAGCGCGGTCTTGAAGATCCATTTACACCCTAGTGCTTTAAACCCATGAGGTAAGTCAGTTAACTCGTAGGTATGATTATGCATTATAGAATTCATCTCACTATTGACTGCATCCTTCTAATAAGGAGCTTCTAGTGTAAACATGACTTCTGTGTAAGATCTCGGTTCATTCTCAATAAGAAAGACCAATGTGAAATCTTCACCATAAAATTTTTTCTTACGAGCTCTTTTGCTGCGTCTAGGTTCATCTTCAACCTGTTCTACCTTCATTTCATTCACAGAAGTAGTCGCATCTCTTTCTTCAGGAATGCATTTAGTAGTTTGCTTATCTTTATATGGAAATATGTTTTCAAAGAATGATGCATTCCTTGATTCCATAATAGTATTCACTTAAACGTATGATACATCTCGTACAATCATAAATGAAAGTGAAAAAAATACTTTTTACCACCTCTTGATGGTAGATATTTTAAATCGCACAGATCAGTGTGGATTAATCCAAAAGGTTCGTTAGTTCGTTCAACATGAGGTGATGGTGTTTTCGTGAGTTTTGCTTGGACACAAATTTCACATTTGTCTTTGTTAATTTTGCATTTTGGAATCATGTTCATATTCATCAGTCTTTGAATAGACTTATAATTAACATGTCCTAAACGTTTATGCCAAATATTAGAAGACTCAACAACATAAGCAACTGGATTCTTACTAATTAAATCTTTGGAATCAGGTACAATTATTTTTCCTTCAGGATTGTCATTACAGACATTTTGATGAATCCTGACTTAACATACCATTTTCCTATGAAAACACCATTTTTGCTAAGTATCAGCTGGTCAGACTCGAAGTTGATTGCAAAGCCGCGTTTGCTCATTAGGGTACCAGATATCAGATTCTTTCTCATGTCTGGAAGATGCTTCACGTTGTTGAGAGTAACCTCCATGTCTGAAGTCATCTTTAACACAACTTTTGGGAGATGTTTCCCATCTTCAGTTACTCAGCTGCCTTGCACTTCTGATAGATACTGAATATGTCTCTGTCAATACATATGTGGGTAGTAGCACCTGTGTCATACCACCACGCCTTGGGGGTTTCTTCCACCAACTTAGCTTGTGTAACCATCGCACACAGGTTTGCTTTGGTCAAGTGAGCTTGATTGTTCTCAGACTTATCCTTTCAGCGATACTCTGAAGACTTATGTCCAAGCTTGTTGCAGTAGTTACACTTCTCATTGAACTTGTTCTTCATGGGTGCTTGACTTTGCTTCTTGAAGCTAGTGTTATTTCGTGGAGGAAACTTATTAGGCGCACCATTGTTGTTCATTGGTTTGCCTTTGCCCTTTTTGCTGTACTCAGCCACCTTTGCATCATGGGTCATGATTTGACCATCTTCTTTTCCAACTCTGTCACGTTTTAGTGACTCATTCTGCAATCTGGAGATCAGATTTGCAAGAGACAGGTCCTTTGCTTGTAAGCAAGACAGTTCTGGAAGTCTGCACAACTTGGAGGTAACTTCTCAATGAAGCAGTTTGCCGTGAATGTCTCACACAGCTTCATTCCTTCAGTTCTAATCTCTTGAAAGATTAGCTCCAGCTCGTGCACTTGTGGCATGATGGGGTGAGAATCCACCATCTCGAATTTGAAGAGTTTCGCTGTAGCGAATTTTCCAGATATGACGTTGTACAATTTGTACTTCTTCCCCAAAGCATCGCAGAGTTCTTTGGAAGTTTTGACCTTGTACACGTCGAACAGCTGCTCCACCAGACTTTTTTTGATGTGCCCTTTGCATAGAAAATCTGAGTGATTCCATGCATTGACACTGGCTAGAATCTCAGGATCTTTATTTCCTTCTGATACCTCTGGAGGATCTTCTGTGAGGTACTTGCTTAGCTGCATCGATGACAGAAAGAAGTGCATCCTTTCTTGCCACTGCTTGAAGTTCGAACCATCAAAATTTTTGGCTGAAGTCCCACAGTTACCGACACTGGCACCATGGTTTCACCCGAGCTTCTATTGACAGTCATGTTGATATCACCGTTAGTCATAGTTGAATCTGTTCACACAAAATAACTGAAGTTAGTATTGAGAAACAGAATTCAAAACAGCAATTAAAACAATTAAGTCGCTCTATACAGCGTTCTCCAAAAAGGATTCGCTACGAGTTTCCACAAATATTACCAATAGGTATTCTTAGAAATCAAAAATAGTTCCCGTAATCATCTTAAGACGTGCTTAAACAATATTTTTATTAGATCAATAGATCGTTTCATGGACCTGTCTATGACTGTCGCGTAAATTGTTTCCGAAGATTCGTCTTTTAAGATCAAAAGTTTTTTACAAAATAGCTAAAAAAACTTTTGCAGAGACTTTGTAAATCGATTTAATAAAAAAACTTGTTTTTAAATATTGTTCGCAATGTTCAATCTGATTCAAGCGATAAACAGGAAGAGGATTTATTGAGTTAAGATTGTAGAACCGCAAAAATCCGGATCGAAATTACGAATGAAAATAATAATATTATAAACGATATATTAAGGTAAAAGAGGAAAACGAGACTTAGAAAACCGATTGAAAACAGACGAAACACGGAGTCGAGATATGATATCTTTCCTTAACTCAATAAATCGCCGGTAATGTGTAACCGTATGAAGTGACTTTTGAATTCCAGGATACAACTGAGATGAGACTATTATGCAACACCCATAATAGAATCTACGAACTGAAATAACTACACTATAACTCTCGAGACACTTAGGATATTAAAAAAAGAGGGATTTGCTGTAAAGTATTATTTTCTGTGTTTTTTGGTGTGTCGAATGAGAAGAGAGGAGACGTCTATTTGTATGGAAGATTCAACTTGATCCGCAAGGAATAAGCTTTGACGAAAAACAATAGTCGGGAGGAATATTTGTGAGATATTCTCCTTTTTCCGCGAGTAAAAGGATTTAGAAGTCTTCCGTAATTATCTGGACGCAATTTTTAATTATTTAAGATTTATCTTTTCACTATGCAAAATATTATCTAGGAATCAAGAAACCCACGACCCATGCCCAATTATATAGAGCCTAAGAGCCCTAAGAGCCAATTAAAAATGCAATGAGCAATGAGCAATGAGCACGAGCCCGCGCCTGAGCCTGACACCGGCACCGGCGACGGCGCTCGCGTAGGTAGGTGTTTTTGCATTAGATCTTTTTACTTCCACAAAGCTGTTTAACCCTTTTTATGATAAGACCATATACATGCAAGAGATTTCACTTTTACAAGAGCATTTGCTTATTAATATTGGGTTCCAACAGCTAATGAGCAACTAAGTCGAACCATATAATGATAAGATTCGTCCTAGAATTGTCACACACTTGGTTCGGTGGAGGTTGATAGATCTTTGATTCCAGATTGTTTCGGAGAAATAGATGCTAAGGCGTGAGTGTAAACTCGAATATCCTTAGGCCCAATTTCAAAGAAAGAATGAAAACGAGGAGATGGACAAAGAAAGGACAAGGGTCGCGATATCGGATGTTAGGGTGTGAGATAAGTCCCGAAAATCCCTAAGCCCCAGATATGACTACGAACTCTCTCTCACTCTTTGTTAGTGAAGGCTGCGTCAAGTAAGATGAAGACTACTTGATAACCAGAACGATCAAATGGTTAACCACCAAATATCGATAAGTTCACGAAGAACAAAAGAGAAAACTCAAAGGAAAATTTTATTAAGAGAAAAGTGATGATTTCCGTCTGAGTACACAAAGCCTTTATATAGAGGCTTAAAAAGACCATCGGTCATACATAGGGAAATAAAAGACAATAAATGAAAATGAAGAACGTTGAATAACGATCAGACTTCCGGAATGACCCTTCGCATCCTCTCGCTAAACTCTTGAGCTTCTAGGCGTTATTCCAAGCAGCGAATCGAACCGTGGTTGTGAGATGGGTGTGCCTTAACCTCGTTAAAATCCCATTCGGTAAACCCAGTGGGACAAACCCGAATAGAAGGAAAAAGAGTATTAAAACAGCACCCCAACCAGGTTAGTTTGGACCTGAGTACATGATTATGGTCATGGCCTTATGAACTGGTGTTGGGTTTGTTACTTGGTCTTGGCTCCTAAGATCGGTAAGCATGCGCTGTATCGCTCCCGTAAGTATTTTGGTGTGTGACCTGGTCATTGGACCGGTTAGCACGACTAGAACATCCTTTGAGTCGGTAACTTGGTATTAACCTCGTCCTTTGTTTCCATCGGTTCCATAATTCTATCATATAATCTTTGGACAAAATTAACCATATAATCTTTGGAAAATTGAAGCAGTGGAACTAGTTGGAGCTGTACAAAGACCTCAGTTTTTTGCCTTCATTTCTTTATTAAGCATCATGAAATCTTGTTTTTTAGCCGAAATTAAAGAATGGAAAGTGGAAGAAAAAAAATAGCTCATTGTTCTACGTGTCACGAAGGATCTTTGTCTTCAGTCTTATGTTGCGACGGGATATCGTACATGACTTCAAGAATTGTTTGAGAGTGTGAAATTCGTGCCCTCTTCTTGACAATTTGATTGTAGGCAAATTTTGGAAGGTATACTGTCCATTTTGTAATGCTTGCCTTATATTTTAGCTTATGTTTGGCATCTTAAAGTTAGACGCGGTCTGATATTTTTTCTAAAGACGCACAAAGAGCTACTATGCCTTTGGTCTCTGTCACTGCCCTTTTTTTTTCAAGAGCTGTTGTGATTGGCCTAAAATTAATGAATTCCATAAATGAAAAAAAATATTAAATAGTTTTCGGTTCTACACACAAAACAGTATACAAAACAACATATTGTGTATGCGCGAAAGTGAGGTGTACGTGCCAAATATACAGAATACACTGATTCAGATTCAATCGGGTACACTAAATCCCCGGCTATGTGCTAATTAAGTTCCGTATACCAACAGGTATTTTATGTCATCGCATATACTCCATAAACAGTTCATCCATCTGTTTTAGTTGATGCTTTAAAACAAATTTAAGCTCTAATTATTCCATCATCACAAGGTTGAGAGGAGATAAGTAACATGATCAACTGAACAGTCAATCAATCTGGTTAACTGAGAGAGAGATCGATTACGATAGAAATACCGGACCAATCATACATGAAATTAGAATAAGATCAATCTAAGCGAAAAAACTAATGGACAAATCTCCAAAGAAACACTTGCCTAATATTTTCACACCTAACTTTTTTTTCTCCTTCACTTTTTCCAATTTATTACTATTTCCGATTAGAACTCTTCTAAGTAACACTCATAACCCACTTATCAATGAATATATACATTCTCAACATTTAAAAAAAAAAACGAAACAAAACATGTCTATACTAATAAGAATGCATTTATCTGTTTCTTTCCTAAAAAACAAAAAAAAAATAGCTAAATGAAAAAAGTTAAGATTTTATGCTATTTACAAGCTGTTAATTATTATATTAGATTATTTAGATAATTTCTGACATGTTATGCTGGTCTAATAAAATCTATTAAAATTTAATATACTTTCCTCATCTGTCGATATTTAGAAATAAGAGATTTTCCATTAGTGCTAACAAAATCTAGAGATACAGTTCGTAGATCAAATAATGGAATATACTTGCGAACCTACTTCTTATGAATACTAAAACAACCCCCCAAATACTGATTTTAACATGGCTTTATCCATATTTTGAACAAAAATTGTCTCTATCCAAATAAAACTATAAAAGGGTAAAATTTGGTAAAGTTAATATACAAATTATAAGGCCCTTTCTATTTCCGAAACGTACACTATTTTCTTACAAAATTTACACTTTCTGGTAGACAGTAGACAATATATTTGTGGTACACAATCAAAAAGAAAAAGAAAAAAAAAAACACCTAGCTAGCCACTAGCTACGATGTCAAGCCACAACGCGCCACAGCTGCCGAGAAATCTGACCAAGCAGCACTCATGGTCGCATGATGTAACTCGCAACGAGGCTTGGCTGCGGAAGAAAAAGAAACGACCATTGGATCTCATTCGTCGTAGCAAGAGCGTCACGAATGATGATCTAGAGGAGCTTAAAGGCTGCATCGACCTAGGGTTTGGGTTTGAGCCAGATTCTCCTGATTTGAACCCAAGGCTCTCCGATACAATCCCGGCTCTGGATTTGTATTTCGCCGTTCAAAGACAGTTTAGTAATCATTTGTCCCGGACATCGTCGTTTGCGTCAGACCGTGACGTCAGCAGCTCTAGCACCACCACGATCGTCAATAAAGGTATGTGATGAATTTGGTGGATTCTTGAATATATATATATATATATATATATATATATATATTTATTTATTTATTTTTTTGCTGTATTTTTGATCGTCTTTTTTCTCAAAAAGGTGATGATCGGAAGACGATGAAGCAGAAGCTGAAGCAATGGGCTCAGGTGGTCGGGTTTTCAGTGCGGCAGTTCTCGGGTAAACCAAATTGATGGTCTTCAGATTTCTTCTAGTGATGTAATGGCAGTTTTGTAATATAATGCTGCTTGAACTTAAACTCGAACTCTTCAATGTTAGTTAGTGAGGTTTGTGTAGTGTCTAGTGTCTTAGTGGATAGGACACTGTCTAGTGAAAAATCAATGTAAATCAAAACTATAACATCCTCTATTGTTATTTTGGTATGGTTTGTATGATGTTTCTTTCCTTCTTTTTTTCCTCCATTTTTCTCGTGAGTAGGAAGGATATGATCATTATATCACTGGAAAAATACTTTTTTTTTTTAATTCAGTCAAAGTTAAATTATGAAAGAAGTCATTACTTTGATCATTATATCATAGTATGTAAAACGTTAATATGTAGTAGCTGTAGGCGTAAAATATTAGCAAAAAAAATTACAAAAATAAATAGAGAAGTTTTCAGATAAAAACATTTTCTAAAAAATGATTAACAAAAAAATATGAGAAGTAAAGGTGAGTATGACTTTTTTTAATCTGAAATATCTCCTATAGTATAGTGGTATATGAGGTAACGAATCTCAAGATACAACACTGTAAAACTATAATTGCAGCATCCGATTATAAAATCGACGAACTGATCGTTCTATGATATACTTTCGGATTTACTTTGAAAAAAAAATATTAAAGCAAAAGAGAGAGAGATGGAAGGATGTGTGAGAATTTGTCTCTGTGAAATCAAGAGCATGAAGAGAGAAATGAGTGTAGAGAGGGTCGTTTATATAGCCAATGAGAGAATACCATGGGGAAGAATTCACAATTAATTTGCATGTTAATGATGGATAAATTGGGCAAGATACTTGGCGAGATTTTCGGAGTTCTAAGCTGCTGAGATCATTCATCATCATTGTCATTAGCTCTTTGATAAGACCCTGATGCATCCTAGCTCACCATCATGTCTAGAACTCTATGTTTCATCATCTGTTTGCTTGCTTTGTTTGTCCTTAATCATTTAGTTAATCTTGTTTAGTTTCATTTCATCACTTGTCACAAAATCAACTCATTTGCTTGCTTGTATTAAGACTGAATTCATACATTCTAGTACATAGATATCACACATTGGATTTGACACTCTTTGTGCTACAATAGACAAGGGAAATTGAACCCTAAGAGCTTGAAAAAAAATCTTGTTTCAATTTGGCGCCGTTGCCATTGTGTGATTGCATCTAGTATTGGTCTTTGAATCCATCTTGAGATCAAGCATTTTTCTTTTGTTTTACTGATAAAACTCTTTAGTTCTGTCTTTGTAAGTTTCAGGCTTATGAGAAATAGGCCTAGAACAAGAAGCAGAAGTTGTAACCCATTGCAGCCATTTATTGACAACATTCAGCTGCTTGATATAAGAGGTAGAAGAGCAAGAGAGAGAGCAAAACATCTTCAGCAGTTGGGTATGGATCAGCAAAGGGATCAAGCAGAGCACCTGGCTCAGGACAACCAAAACCAGGCGGCCAGAAATAAGCTACAAGCATTTGTCAACCAAAACATGGCTGCAAGGAATGAGCACCAGGCTCAGATCAACCAGAACCAGACGGCCAGAAATGAGCATCAGGCTCATGTGAACCAAGAGAACCAACACCAGCAAAGGAATCACCAGCCTCAAATACAGAATCTGATTTTTGTGGGTGCTAATGACAGAGAAAATGCTCACCAGAATAGGCAAGGTATCCAGGCTCCACCTGTTGAAAACAAAAATTTTGAAATCAAAGCCTCACTCCTCAATCTAGTCTAGAACTCCAAGTTACATGGCTTGCCTATGGAGTACCCTCTAGATCACCTTGATAACTTTGACAGGGTTTGCAACCTTACAAATATTAATGGGGTATCAGAGGATGGCTTCAAGCTGAGACTCTACCCATTGAGCTTGGGAGACAAAGCACGCCAATGGGAGAAGAATTTGCCTAGGGGTTCTATTCAGACATGGGAGCAATGTAAGCAGGCTTTGCTCTCAAAGTTCTTTTCAACTTCAAGAACAGACAAACTCAGGAATCAAATCTCTTCCTTCACACAACACAACAATGAGACATTTGGTGAAGCCTGGGAGAGATTCAGAAGCTATACCAACCAGTGCTCTCACCATGGGTTCTCAGAAGCTTCTCTACTTAGCACTCTATACACATGTGCTCTTCCCAAGTTCAGGAATCAACTTGATACAACTTCCAATGGCAGCTTCCTTTCCAAATAAATCAATGCAGCAATGAAGTTGGTGGAGAACTTGGCTATGAGAAATGACACATATGGTAAAGACTATGATAGAGCCAATAGAGAAGAAGGTTCTTGTGAAAAACAAAGGATGAGAAAGGAAATCAAAGAGCTGCAAAGCAAGCTGGATAAGGTACTTGTGGCTACTCAGAAGCCAATACATTTTTTTGGAGAGTTTGATGAACAAACTCCTTGCTTTGAGAATGTGAATGAGGAGGGACTGACACAAGAGGAGCTGCATTACATTAGAAATCAAAACAAGTTCCAGAGGTATAACAACTTCAACAATCAGAACTTGTCATACAAAAATCCAAATGTAGCTAATCCAGAGGATCATGTCTATCCCTCTCAACAAGCTCAGCAGAGCTACGTTCCCAAGAATCAGTTTCAGGGGAACTTTCAGAGCAAGAAACAATATGTTCAGCAGCCTCAGCAGTATGTTCAGCAACCTCAGCAGAATCAAGGAAGTAACTTCACTAGTCAGCCACCTATGAACAAGTTTCCACCTAGTTTTGGACAGCAAAAGCAGTCGCAGGCTCAGCAGATGGGTTCAGACTTAGGTGGGGTTTTACACCATATACTTCAGGGTCAGCAAAGGGTTGAGAACAGTTTCACTGATCTGAGTTCAAAGTATGAAGATATGCAACATCAACTGAAAGATCTTCAAAAGAATCAAGCTTCTTCTTCTAGACAACAAGGTACACTTCATGGGAAACCTGAGTCAAACCCCAAGGAGTATGCCAATGCCATTACACTCAGAAGTAGCAAAGAGCTACCAGAAAGAGAACAAAAACCTGTGCTCATTGAGGATAATGAGCAACTTGGTGGGGAGGTGCCTCAAGGGAGTGAACTAGATGATGAAGCTGTAAAGAATGACAAGGGCAAAGGTGTGGCAAAGGAGGTGGTGCCTGAGAAACCATATGTGCCACCACCACCTTATCAGCCCAAACTCCTTTTTCCAGGAAGATTCAAGAATTAGCTCTTAGAGAAGGCTAGAGCTGTTTTTGATAAGCCAATTGGAGAAGACTCAGTTCACCATGCCTATTATAGAAGCCTTTCTTATGGTTCTCCAACTTGGCAAGTTCTTAAAGGATGCTCTTTTGAACAAGTCAAGAGAACTACAAGGAATGATGGTCTTGAGCCATCAGTGTAGTGCAATAATTCAAGGACAATCCCTAGGAAGTTATCTGATCCAGGGAGTTTTACATTGCCCTGCACTATTGGTCCTCTTAAGTTTGCCAGCTGTTTATGTGATCTTGGAGCATCAGTGAGCTTAGTGCCTTTCTCAGTTGCAAAGAAGTTGGGGTTCACAGTCTACAAGCCTGCAAGGATATCTTTGGTACTTGCTGTAGATCAGTTAAGCTCCCTATTGGACTACTTGAAGATATACCTGTTAAGATAGGAGACTTTGAAGTCCCAACTAACTTCATTGTCCTTGAGATGGATGAAGAGCCTGTAGATCCTCTCATTTTGTGGAGACCATTCCTTGCTACAACAGAAGCCATAATTGATGTAAGAGAAGGAAAGATAGATCTCCATCTAGAATCAGAGGTCCTCAAGTTTGATATCAATGAAGTCATGAAGAAACCTACCATTGAGGGTTAGGTATTCTATATAGAAGCCATGGAAGAGCTTGCTGATGAGCTTCTTGAAGAGCTAAACACTAAAGATCATCTTCAAATTGCCTTAACCAAAGAGCATGGTGAGTATGGGTACTTAGAGGATGACACCCTTGGGTATATGAAGCTTCTTGATTCTCACAAAGCCAGCAGGATCAGAAACTCAGCTTTTGGAGCTGGAGACAAGCGACCAAGTGGTTCAGAGTATCAGTGGGTTCAGTACAAGTCAGGGACTGGTTCAAGAGTGCATGGCCGTGGGTTTGAAAGCCGAAGAAGATACTAGACCGGCTGAGGAAAAAAACAGCAATGAAGCTCAGGCTGATCAAGAGAGCTTCATGGGAGACTGGGATGAACACAAAGCTCTATATGTTGAGCTTAATCCACTCCCAAAGGGGCTCATGTATGCTTTTCTTGGACTAAATGCATCATATCCTGTCATAATCAATGATAGATTGTTAGAGCATGAAGAGAAAGCCATGTTGCATGAGCTTAGAAAGTATAGAAAAACCATAGGGTATTCCTTAGATGACATTAGAGGGATCTATCTTAGCTTATGTACCCACAGAATCATCTTGAAGAAGAGTTTATGTCTTCCATTGAACACCAAAGAAGACTAAACCTAAACCTTAAGGAGGTGGTCAAGAAAGAAATTTTGAAACTACTTGAGGCTAGGATAATATATTCTATCTCTGACTCAAGGTGGGTTTCCCCTGTCCATGTGGTGCCTAAAAAAGGTGAAATGACAGTGGTAAAGAATGATAAGGATGAGCTTATACCCACTAGGACTGTGACAGGGCATAGTATGTGCATTGATAATAGAAAGCTGAATGCTGCGTCAAGAAAAGACCATTTTCCACTCCCCTTCATAGATCAGATGTTTGAGAGGCTTGCCAATCACCCTTACTACTGTTTTCTAGATGGATACTCAGGATTTTTCCAAATTCCAATAGACCCTAAAGACCAAGAGAAAACAACATTCACCTGCCCTTATGGCACTTATGTTTTCAAGAGAATGCCTTTGGTTTGTGTAATGCACCAGCCACCTTTCAAAGGTGTATGATGTCAATTTTCTCTGACCTGGTAGAGGAGAAAGTAGAGGTGTTTATGGATGACTTTAGCATCTATGGACCCTCTTTCTCTTCTTGTTTATCTAATTTGTCTCAGATGCTAAGGAGATGTGAGGAGACAAGCTTGGTGCTGAACTGGGAGAAGTGCCATTTCATGGTGCAAGAAAGCATTGTATTAGGGCACAAAGTTTCAGAAGCTGGGATAGAAGTTGACAAGGCCAAGGTGGATGTCTTGGTTAATATGGGGGCTCCAAATTCAATGAAAGGAGTCAGAAGCTTTTTGATACATGCTGGGTACTACAGGAAGTTCATTAAGGACTTCTCAAAGATAGCAAAACCTGACAAGGCTTCTGTGCAAAGATGTGGAATTCCTCTTTGATCAAGAGTGTCATGAAGCTTTTGAGAAGATCAAGCAAGCTCTGATAAGTGCTCCCATTGTTCAAGCACCAAATTGGAGCTTGCCCTTTGAAATCATGACTGATGCATCAGATTTTGTAGTTAGTGCTGTGCTGGGACAAAAAAAAAAGACAAGAAGCTTTATGTCATCTACTATGCAAGTAGGACATTGGACACTGCCCAGGGGAAATATGCCACAACTGAGAAGGAGATGTTGGCTATTGTCTATGCTTTTGACAAGTTTAGATCTTATTTGTTGGGGTCTAAAGTGGTGGTCTACACAGATCATGCAGCTTTGAGATATTTGATGACAAAGAAAGATACAAAGCCAAGGCTGCTAAGATGGGTATTTATTCTCAAGGAATTTGATATGGAAATCAAAGACAAGAAGGGTATTGAAAATTGAGTAGCTGATCACTTGTTTAGACAAAGAGTGGAAGCTGATGTCCCTCTTAATGATTCTCTCCCTGAAGAGCAGCTCATGGTAGTGAAGGCTTTGAATGAGCTGGAAGAAATCAAGTCCATCAAAGAAAGAGGGTTGCCATGGTTTGCTGACGTTGTGAACTATATCTCATGTGGAGTAGAGCCTTCTGAAATAAGCAACTATCAGAGGAAAATTTTTTTTCAAGGATATCAAGAGGTTCTTCTGGGATGAGCCATACTTGTATGTGCTTAACAAGGATCATTTGTACAGAAGGTGTGTAACTGAGGAAGAGATTCCAGGGATGTTGTTGGAGTGTCATGGATCTGCTTATAGTGGCCACAATGCTGTTTTCAAAACTGTGGAAAAGGTCATACAATCAGGGTTTTGGTGGCCCAGCATGTTCAAAGATGCACAAGAAGTTGTTATCAGGTGTGATGTCTGCCAAAGAGCTGGAAACATCTCCAAGAGGAATGAAATGCCTCAGAATCCAATCTTGGAGGTGGATCTTTGATTGTTAGGGTATATACTTCATGAGGCCTTTCATATCTTCACATGGGAACCAGTACATTCTTGTGGCAGTTGATTATGTCTCAAAATGGGTTGAAGTTGTGGCAAGTCTACAAATGATGCCAAAATGGTGGTGAAGCTGTTTAAAACCATCATCTTTCCAAGGTTTGGAGTATCCAGGGTTGTCATTAGTGATGGAGGTAGTATTTTATAAACAAGACTTTGGAAGGACTTCTCAATAAATATGGGGTCAAGCACAAGGTGGCAAGCCCTTATCACCCTCAGACAAGTGGTCAGGTCAAAGTTTCAAACAGACAGATCAAAGCCAATCTAGAGAGAACAGTGAGCTCATCAAGGAAAGTCTGTTCCAAAAAATTGGATGATGCATTGTGGGCTTATAGGACAGCCTTCAAAACTCCTATTGGTACTTCTCCTTTCAATTTCCTTTATGGGAAGAGCTGGCTTTTTTGCCTTTGGAACTTGAATACAATGCATTATGGGCTGTCAAGCTGTTGAACTTTGACATAAAGACTGCCCAGGAGAAGAGGCTGTTTCAACTTCATGAGCTTGAAGAGATAATGCTTGATGCTTATGAAAGCTCAAGGATCTATAAGGAAAGGATAAAAACCTTGCATGATCAGAAGATAATGATGAGGGACTTCAAAGAAGGAGATCTTGTGCTGCTGCTTAACTTAAGGCTCAAGCTCTTTCCTGGCAAGTTAAAGTCTAGGTGGTCAGGCCCTTTTAAGATCTTGTAGGTGAGAAGCCATGCATAGAAATGGATTTGTTATGGAGCTGTTGTTCTTAAAGGAAAGATGGCAATGGATTTGTTGTGAATGGGCAAAGGATAAAGCCCTATCTGGTCAGTGA